TTTAAAAAAAAAAATAATTTCGTAACTAATATAAGAAAAAAATAATTTGATCTTACTTAATTTCTGAATTTTTTTTTCGCCAGCCAAATTGATAACATAAAATGTCAAAAGAGATGACCGGACTTACACGCCTAAATGATGACGACGGTGACAAATTATAATTAGTTAAAATATGTCTATTTTGAGATGATTGAAATAAATTGAGGGTTAAAACATTGAATTGCATTGAATAATAGTAAAGCAGAATGAGTATCTATATGTTTTTCAAAGTTTTTCAATGCTAATTTAAAAGCTTCAGAAAAAATTGACATAAGGTATTCATAATTTTAATAATTCTGAGATAATAGTTGTATCATTTCTACACTAATTGGTGGATTATTTATTCCATTTCGCAAAAATGCTCTTATTTGTTCTATTCTTAAAAAAAAACAAAGGAGCAATAACCAAATTTCTTATTTTAAAAAATTCAAGATCCAATATTAATCTAAAAAATATTAAATTTTTATATTTTAGTAATAATAAAATAATAAAAAATATTTTTAATATTTACCTTTATGCATTAAATGAAATAAATTTAATTAAAATATCTATATAAAAACTAAAACTTTGATTTTGAAAAATCTTTTTAATTCTTTAATAACATTAGAATTTTTTTCTGCATATTTTTCAATAAAAAATGTAACCATATGTTGATAATAATTTTTCATCTAAATTAAAAATTTAAACTAAGAATTACATCTAGTCTTAATAAGTAAAGAAGGTAAATTAACAAATAAATCTTGTATGCTTTCTTCATTAAATAAATTTTCATTTGTATTAAAAAAACAGATTTTGAAATCAAATGTTCTTTCCATCTTCTTTTTTTGCTGCTAAGTATACAAATAATGTTTTAATATGTTTAACTACAATATCTAATAATTTAAAGTATTTAAAATTTGACTAAGTTTCATTAATAAGATTATAAGTATGAACAAAACATGTGTTATAAAATAAGTGTGATATTAATAGAAATAAGATATTGGTAAAACTTTATTCATATATGATACATTAACACTAATAAAAAATATTAAATTATAAAAGAAATATTATAAGAATAAATATTATTAAGAAAAGCTTGTACAATTGTTATATTATTAACAGTTTCTAAAAAAGGGTATTTACTAATATAGCTTTATTTTAATAACTAAATAATACATTAAGAACACTTCTTCCACAACTATCTATTATTTCATCCATAATTACAGAAATCTTTAATTAGCTAATTTATTCATTAATATATTTTTTGCTGATTCAAAAATAGCTAAAAAATATCTTTTGCATAGATAATTTGCATTAACAGCTTCATCTTTAATTTTTAATTATTGATGTTAATATAAATATTTAAAATAAAAAAATTACTAATATAAAATATAGATAAAAATCTTATTATTATTATAATATTTTATAAAAAAAAAATTTAAGTTTATCAATCTTTTCAAGTAAGATGTCAGCTTTAGTAAATATTTTAATAAGATATAAATTTAATTTTTGTTTTTTTTGATCTAATTTAATAAATATTTAAAATAGTTATTTGTAAAGCTTTAGCACTCTTAATAACTTTTCTTTTCTTTTTTAAATGAGTTAGTGAGTTTATATAAGCTTTGATAACAGACTTACGCTTATAATTAACTACATAATTACAAAATTTACAATATAATTTTTATTTTTTAAATGAAAATAAATTTTAAATTAAGAATTTTTTAATAATCTTTTAGATACTAAAACTATTTTTTTTTAAAAAAAAAATATAGATAATCATAATGATCAATTAAATATTTATTCTTTAAATGGTAAATATATAATAGATCACGTGAAAAATGCAAAAAATGATAAAATTACCTTAAAAGTATAATGCATATATAATGTAAAATTATAGTATATAAATATGAATTTATGTAAATATATAAATCTGTAGACTCTAAGTTAGAGCAGTATTGACATTTGATCATTTGGCTGATATTTGACTATAATTTTTTAGCCGTTTGGCTATGATTAAAATAGCCAAATTTTATTTTAAATTTGTTTAGCTAAAAAATCTTTTTATATAATAGCTTACAAAAGAAATAGAAACATAATTAGTTAATTACATTAAAATTTGACATTTCTAAAATTCAGAATGTTAAAATTCTTGCAAAATTGTAAAATTACAAAATTGATATTTCTAACATTTAGAATACTCTATTTTGCAAGAATTTTAACATTTCAAAATATTAGTAGCATTAATTTTTTGTAAATTTGCAAAACTTTGAATGTTAGAGCTATCAAAAATTTTGCAATTTTACAATAAATTGCAATTTGCAAATAAAACAAAGCCAAAATTAGCAAAGTCATGTGATATATGGCTGATTTAACTGATTAGTGATTTTGGCTGCTAATTTTAGCCAACTGGCTAAATTGGTCAACAGCCAACAAATTAGGCTTGGTTATGATCTTGATTAGGGTTAGTTAGGGTTAGGCGTTAGCATATTATTAGAGGAAGTACTGTATTTCTGATATGAAATAAAAATATTCTACTTTATGATAGTTAAATATATTTTTAATCTAATTTAAATTATTTGTAATTTTATATAAATTATAAATAACTTAATTATTTTTTATTTTTTAATTAATTTTATTATAAACTTATAATTATTTGAATCATTTATAACTTATATTTATTTTACTGCAATTAAATTTATTAGATTCTTTTAGAGATATATAAAAGGTAATTGTAATTAAAATTTGGATTGGTTTAGAAAAAAAATTATAGAAGCTTTTATCAATAAAAAATAACAGCTTATAAATCTAATTAACGATTGGCAAATGCATATCACGTGATATTTACATTATAATCTTTTTTTTAAAAATATAAACCAGGTTAAAATAATTTCATTTGATGCGTCGAAATTTGTGTAGGGATTGAAAGGTTCGGCGAGATGAAAATGGTGGAAAGGGAATTTTTTTATCAAAGAGGTTTGTTGAAATTTTATTCTTGTTTGTTGTTTACTTTCTGCATTTTTTATTCAAGCTCTTTTTGACTTGGCAACCTTTCCCGCAGTGTTTGAAGGTTGCACCTGTAATGAAAAGACATAAATGAATTAATATTTGTCTTGACCAATTCATTATAACAATAAAAAAAAACTTTGAATTAAATTACCGCAAACATTCTTTTCGCTACAGCATGGTGCCAAGGAATTACATATCTCTTTTCCACACTTTACAGCTACAGAGGATCTTAGAGAAGTTTTTTGTTTGACAAGATTATCTCCTTTTGTGATACAAACTCCATTAAAACTTTTACCGGCTTGACAACCATTACCGCAATGGTCAGGAGTAGAACCGCAAAAGTTGAATTCACTACAGCAAGGAAATTCGGCAGTGCAGATGACATCACCACATTTATTTATAGAGTTTGATGGTGGTTCGGGTGTGGGTTCGGGTTCTTTAACTGGTTCTTTAACTGGTTCTTTTTGAGATGTCCCTGGTAGTTGACATTTTCCATTAAAGCTATGTTTCGGATCGCAGCCGGTTCCACAATGTCCCTCGGTAGCACCACAAAAACCGGATGCACTACAACAAGGGAGATTTTCAGGACAATCCTTACCACCCATTTTTGGACATCCCTTATTTTCAGGAAGAGGACCTTTAGCTTGAATAGTAACTAAAAAGAAAGAATTAACGATTGTGATTAAAAAGGGATATAACGTATGAAAAAAAAAAAAAAAAAAAAAATGATTAAAATAAAACATATGTCTTACAGTAGCTTGAAAAACCAGTTTCTTTTCCAGCCACGATAATGGCATAATCAATTCCAGAAGGAATACTTTCGTCGACAATAGTTGTACATGTTCCTTCTTTTGGATCAAGTGTACATAACTTTCTAAACAATTGTAAATTTTCGGCGGGACCATGAACCAATTTAACATCTACAGAAGGTTCTATGATATTTCCCACTGTCCATTTTATTTCAAGTTTATCTCCAATTTTAAAGATTTCTCCAGCAGGAGGACTAGATACACCATAATCAGCTGAAGCGAATAATGCAGAACATAATAACAATATGGAAGAAATAAAGATAGAATGCATTTATATTATTTTTCTTTACGTAAAAAAAAGGATAAAGAAAGAATGTAGTCGGATGATTTGATATAAAAAAATTGATAGTAAAGAATGTATAAAAAAAAAAAACTTGCCTCAAGCAAGTATAAAAATTTTCTATTTTGTAGAGAAGTTAAAAGAAAAATAAATGCGATTTGAAAAAGTGATAATGAAATGAGAAGAATGAATTCTCTTTTTAAGTATTTTTTATCCAATCATTTTGAAGCGAAAAAGGCAAATAAAGTTCACAAGGATTAAAACCAATAGTTAATAGTCAGATTTTAAAAAATTTTTTTTTTTTTTTTTATTCTCTTTAATTGACCGATAACTAATATATTTTAAAAAGGGATATGTTGATTCTTTTGGAGCCGATAGAACGTGCAGCTCTTTCTTCGTATATAGATCCGAAACGCAGTGTGTTCTCAGTATTTAAAAATCACAAGGAATTTACCGATCAATTAATTAATGCCAAATACTTTAGTGGTAGATCCGGCAACACGAGAGCATCCAATTGCGAGGTTACTTCTATCAAGATATGGAACAGGCTTTTTTCGAATATTTTAGGCAAGCATCGAGAAATAGATTGGAAGCACAGACGGCTCAAAGCTACATTATAATAGTGTGCTTTGTGAATCGGACTAATTTAAGCTAAAAAGAATAGAACGGAACCGATTTCATAGAATCTACGTACACGTGAATATTTTGTAGTATATTTTAATACTTGAAGTGTAAACTTAACTATCCTAATAAGGAAGAATTTTAAATTAAGAAAAAACTGGATCGCATGATTCCTATTTGTAATTTGTTTTGCAAATCCCCTAATTCTAATATATAACCAGCCCTTGCTTTAAGTTTTACCCACTCCTCGTACGTTTTAAAACAAAATGGTACAAATTATGCGAATTTCGGCTTTTAATGAATTCGACAAAATCGTCAATAGAATTGTTCAAGAACGCAAAGGGCAAAACATATTTGTTGTCCTATTCGGTATGTAAAAATTGCAAGAATAATTTTCGTGTTACATTTATCTACAAATAATAAATGCATCATACGAAAAGGCAATGAGAATCCCAATACTGGAAAATCGTGGTGTCCAGATTGCGTAAACGGTAAAATTTTCACAATTATATATTCTACAATTCAAGCTTTAAAACATAAATACATTTACATTGCATCTTATTTAAATTATCCAATCTATGTAACCTCCAGCTGATCCTCTTATCCGTCATCATCTTGAAAAAACAACTGCTGATTCCGTGTTAATTGAAGTTCCTGTCGGAACGAGAGCAGAGTAAGTCATTTGGAGCGGTTCCAAGTCTTTAGAAATTATTTTAATTAATAATATAAAAAAAAAATAAATAAATAAATAAAAATTAGATATAGAGGGAGACCTGATAATCCTTACAGGCTTCATCCAAGAATTCAACTAAAATCCATTCCAACCTTGATCAAATGGACCGAAAATGCTGAAACTGACAAAAGATTGGTAGAAAGTGAATGTACTCGGGATGATTTATTAAGTGCATTTTTCACAACGGAATCCGCTTAACTTGATTTCATGACTTTTAAATTATCAATAGGTCAAAAATCCAAACTTGCAATAATAAAATATTATTTATGATTCATTTAATATTGATTACAATAATTTAGTTACTATAATACATAAATAAATTTGCATTGAGCATTACAATCTTGCTTTAGCCTTGTCAGGTTTAAAGAACTTTTCACTAATATTCTTTCTTTGAATTTTACCGGTAGCAGTTTTAGGCATAACGTCAGTAAAGTAAATTTTCTTTGGTACCTTAAATTTAACAAGTTGTTTTCCACAATAATCTTGTAATTCTTTTTCACTGATTTGTTGTTCCTTTTTCAAAATCACGGTAGCATGAACTTCTTGTCCATACATTTCATCAGGTACAGCAAAAGAAACAGCTTCAGCAACTGAAGGATGTGATAAAAGAACCGAATCAATCTCCAAAGGAGAAATTTTTTCTCCTCCACGATTAATCAATTCTTTAATACGTCCCGTTAAAAATAAGTATCCATCTTTATCAAATTTACCTTGATCACCTGTTCTAAACCAACCATCTTTTGTAAATGATGATTCATTAGCTGATTGATTATTAAGATACCCTGATGTTACATTTGCGCCTTTAATACAAACTTCGCCTTCTTCAGTTGGATTTCCATTTTGATCCAAGATTGTTACTTGAACTCCTTGACCAAACCCAACCGATCCAGGTTTATGCGGTAAGGGTGGTAATGGATTGGAGGTCATTTGATGTGCTGCTTCGGTCATGGCGTAAGCCTCCAATACAGGTGCTTGATATATTTTTTCAAGTTCACTTAGAGTGCTCGGTGCAAGTGATGATGAGCATGAACGAATGAAACGTAATTTAGGGGCTCCTCCGTTTGGAGGAGGATGGCGTAATAAAATTTGATGGATTGTTGGCACTTTATATAATGATTTAATCATTCGTTAGAATCCGTTAAAGTTCTCTTTAACTTATTATTAAGTTTTATCTCTTACCAGCAGTGTACCAAGTACATTCATATTGTAAAAAGTGTTTCCAAAAATCAGTCGCAGAGAATCTAGGCTGAATTACGACTGTCCCTCCAGATAACAAAGTGGATAGCATTCCACCTATTAAACCATGAACATGGAAAAGTGGCATTACTAATAAAGTGCGATCGCTTGGAACCAAATTATATGTGCGAATTATATTACTCATGGTGGTTATGATATTATGATGAGTAAGTGGGACACCTAAAATTCGTCAATTGAAGATTATGATTATTATTGAGGTGGTGAATGATCCTTATTTATTTTGAATATTAATTCACCTTTGGGACGTCCGGTCGTTCCGGATGTATGTAACAAGAGGGCAACATCGGTATGATAAGGATCTCGCTCTTTAAACTTTCCCCCTATCGCCTTTCCACTCTGAACTCCCAAATTAATCTGTTGGTTATGATTATCCCATACTATTTCAAAAATTACTGCATTAAAAGCTTTAGCGGCCTTTACGGCAGGTTTATTTTGTTGTACCCAACCTTGTGGTACAATCATCACTTTACTTTTGGAATCCTCTATGTAAAATTTAAATTCATCTTCTGCATAATTTGGATTTAACGGTGCCGCTATATTTCGAAACAACGTAATTGCTAAAAATGCAACCGTAAATTCTAACGAATTTGGTAATACAATTGCAATAACTTCTTGTGATCCTATATTACATTTTTCAATAAGTTGTTGTTGAAGTGAATTGATTTGTTTAAATAACTGAGAGTACGAGAGTTCTACTCCACTATTTGGAATGATAATGGCCGGTGAAGTTGATTTATGTGTAAATACCTTCGCAAGAGTTGTCATAATTATAATATCAAAATTTTATTGCTAATGATTTCCTTAGTGTTCAGACGTTGATAATCTAGTCAAACCCCCAAAAAATTATCATCCAATAAAACGATAGCATTAAATCAAAAATCGTTTTTTAAACATCATGATGCTTATTATTTTAAAACACGTACGGAATAATATTTACAGACTTCGTCGGTCTAGAAATTATTCCATACTTAGTCCTGTTACAAAATCACCTTTTACAGTTCTCGGAATTGAAACTTCTTGTGACGATACAGGAGTCGCAATTGTGAATTCAGATCGTCAAATTATAAGCGAGGCTATCCATCTTCAACAACAATTACACGAACCATATGGAGGTGTTGTTCCAAATTTGGCCATGTCAAGTCATCAACAACATTTACCGCTTGTGATACGTGAGGCTTTGGATAAAGCAAACTTGGATATCGCAAGGGATATTGATGTTGTTGCAGTTACAAGAGGTCCGGGACTTCCTGCTTGTCTAGGAAATGGATTGAGTGCCGGAAAGGCTTTGGCTGCCGCACTTCGGTAAGTACAAAAACAAATAATAAAATAAAGGGAAATGAAAGTTCTCTTATCTTTCCTTGTTTATTTCATTTGTAGAAAACCATTAATAGGCGTTCATCATATGGTATGTATTTTCAATTAATTTATAACGTCATTCATCAATTTTTGATTTATGAAAGAGATAAAATAATTCATCTTCTTTTAGCTATAACTTTAAACATCAAAACGTGTCTATCTGTTTTAGGAAGCTCATGCACTTACAGCACGTCTCACTCAACCAACTCCTGTACCTTTTCCTTTCTTAACACTTTTAATATCAGGTGGACACACTCTTATATTGGTAGCACATGGTGTTAATCATTATACTCAACTTGGAACAACCGTAGATGATTCAATTGGGGAAGCGTATGATAAAATTTCTCGTTTACTTAAACTACCTTGGTTGAAAGGTCGTGGAGGTGGACCTGGTGCTGCTTTAGAACGAGTTGCTGAAAAAGGAGACCCCAAGAAATATAAAGTTCCAATACCAATGACAAAAGACAAACATAGAAAAGAAGCGATGGATTTAAGTTTCAGTGGGTTAAAAACATCAATAAGTACGTTGATTAAAAATAATGACTTAGATTTAGACGATGAGATCGTAAAAAGAGATTTAGCATCGGTTTTTCAGAAAACAGCTATAACTCATTTAACAGATAAATTAGAATTGGCTTTCCGGTGGTGTAGGGAAAAGGACATAACTCTAACAGCCTTAGTTGTGAGTGGAGGCGTAGCAAGTAACAAAAGTATTCGTTCAAGGTATTGTAATTTTTTTTTTAAAAAAAATAAAGGTATTCTTTTAAATACATTGAGATGACAATTTACGTGATATATTTTTTAGTTTGGAATCATTGGCAACCGAGCGATATAACATTCCATTAATTTGCCCGCCACCACACCTATGCACTGATAATGGCGTTATGGTTGCGTGGGCAGGCGTGGAACGTTTTCGTATAGGGTTAGTGGATGAATATATCATTGACCACTTACCAAGGTGGCCAATTACAACTTTGGGATCTTAAGGATATTATTTTAATAAAAACCACCTTATAAGTTTAAAGTTTAAAACAAATTTATTAAATGAACATTTTGAACAACTCGAACCGAAGTAGTAAAACAACATCAATTGCAGCTGTTTCGCTTATATATTAAAAAATTAGTAATTCCTACACTTGATATTCTTTGAGAAATAAATTCTGATGCATTTAAAATTGCTTTTGATTAAATAAAAATCTTATTCTTAAAATAATTGATAATATTAATATTATCCTTTCAATGGTTTTGCCTTTAAATTTACTTATATATTATAATATATATTTATAAGCTTTGATTATTTTTAATTTGAATAAAAAAATTCTTATCATTAAATAAAAAACTTTTTTTTTTTTTTTAATATGATTTTACAAATAAAATCTAATTTAATATTTAATTGGATTTTCATAATTTCATAATATATAAATGAAAATCTTACAAATAGCTAATATCTCAAAAAAGAAAAAATTAAAAATAAACAAATTTTTTTAAATATAAGAAGGAATTTATTTTATTTATTTTTCAAAATTTTGAAATTAAAAAAATTCTTTATTATTTTTAATTTATATGATTTATTATTCAATAGTTAAAAAAATGATTATTTAACATGTAAAAAATATATGAAGTTTTAGAAAAACATTATCTTTTAAATTATAAATAAATAGCATTATGTAGTAAATTTCTGTAGCAAGTAATTTATTATTAATTACTGCTATTTAATACCTATTAAAATTAAATAAAAATAAATAATTTTTTTAAAATATTTCTATAAATAAATATAAAAAATAAATAAATAATCATTATTTTATAAATAATTTTTTAAAATTATTTTTTAATAAAAAAATTTTATCAAAATAATAAATATTAAATAAATATAAATCTTTCAAAAAGGTTTAATTACTAATATTAAGTTCTTTTTAATAGACTAGTAACTTTTATTTAAATATTTAAAATTTATATATTACAAGAAGTATGATAATTAAATATTTGTAAAATAGTATAATAGAAATTAGTAATAAATAAAAACTTCAAGAAAAAAATAAAATTTACAAAAGTAAAGCTTAAAATACAAATTGATACTTATAAATTAAAATACATACTGATTGAAAGTATTACTATTATCATTTAAGTAAAAATGCAATCTTATACTTCTAATTAAAATATAGATTAATTAGAAGTTTTTTTAATATAATAAAAAAAATATTATTTTAATCTTTATATTGCATAATTTTTAGATTAGATTTTAAGTTTTTTTTTAAAAAATTTGTGAATTCAGAATACTATTAAAATCATTTTAGTTATTTAAAAAGATAAAATAAAAAATTCTATTATAATAAAAAAGTAAAACTTTATAATAATATTAGATTATATGTTTATTTAAATAATATATAAAAGTTAAATAAGTTAAAAATTAAAAAAAAATTAAATTATAAGTATAATACAAAACTAATTAAAATAATTAAAGTAATATTTAAATAAAATTTAAAACTACTAGCTGAATTTGTAAATTTCTAAAATTCTAGAATTTTAAATTAATTTTGAAAGTTTTAGAGATAAAATAATGTTTTAACTATAATATATTAGAATTC